AGTATTTTGGAAACTGGAAACAGGTGGTTGTGTGGTAACGGATTTAGCAGATGTGAGGAGCAAGACTATTTATGTGACAGAATCAGTCCCAGGAATTGGCAGCAACAGATATCTCTAGAAGCTGGAGTGAAATGAGGCTAAAATAATCTGTACTGGTTAAAAGTTTAAGAAGCAGTTGTAGCTCCAAATCCCCTTTCAATCTTTGGTAGATGCCTGGAGATAATTACCCCCTGGAGATGATGAAGAGAGAGTCTCTCTATTAGGGGACATAGGCACAAGTGAGGATCAGGATACCTCACTGAACACGGTGATTAAAGGACATTCTCATACCTGATGTTCCCCTCCTCCCCCATTTGGCCTCCAGGATGTTGGCAGAAAGTCCTCTGCTCAAACAAGGGCCTAGAAGGAACTTTCTGGAGAATCTGACACCCAGGGACTTCTCCACTGAAATAGCCCAGCCGGTCCATACTCTGGTGAGGGTACAACAGATAGCGCCCCCTGTGTGCTTGGAGTCTCCACTCTGGCTTCTTTGTAGTGGTTGTTCCCTTTCTTAGGTATGAGCAGTTAAGGATATTTAAGAAAGCCTATAACATGTAAGAGTCCAAAACAAACAGAAGAATGCAAGGCATAAGAAATAAATACTTAGGAAGAGAAAAACTTCAAAATAGTAATCATTCATATTTTCAGAGAGGTGAGGAAAGAACCATGATGTTGGAAGAGGATGCTGTTAAGAAAAGGAATATTTTTTAAAAAGGAGCTTTTGGAAATTGAAAACATGATAGCAGAAAAGAAAAATTTTATAGCAGAATCAGAAGGCAGAATGGAAGAAATTTGTCAGAAAGTAGAGCAAAACCAGGAGAGAATAAAATAAGAATATTGGAGGACCAGTTTAGGAGCTCCATTGTCCAAATAGGAAAAGTAGAGAGAGAGAACAGAGGAAATGGGGGAGAGAAACCAGCAACAAAATCATTCAGAACATTTTCTCAGAACTCATGGACACAAATTTACAAATTTAAGGACCCACTGAATTTCCAGCACGGTAGGTCAAAATAACACCCATGCCAAGGCACTTCATTGTGAAATTTCTTGACACTGAGGGAAAATTACAGGGAGAAAAAAAACAAATCAAAGAACCTGCAATTTGAATATGAGACTTATCAACAGCAACACTGGAAGCTAAAAGTCAGTGAAGCATGACCTTCAGGTTTCTGAGGGAAAATTATAAGCCACCCAGAATTCCTTAGCTAGTCAAACTTTCAATAATTTGAAATAACTTTTCAAAGTCATTTTCAGATAGCAAAGTCATTGAAAATTTACTTCCCTGGAAACTACTGGGAGGTATGCTTCCCCAGAATGGAGTAAGCCAACAAAACAGATGTGGGAGTCAGGAAACAGGGGACCCAACACAGGAGAAAGACAACAGGGATTACCAGAATGATGGTGAAATAGCGTCTAGGCATACAGGGCGTCAGTCTAGATGTGAGCATCTGAGAAGGTTCTAGAAGAGCTTTGTTTAGGAAGATGAAATTGATAGACTGCATGATATGTCGTAACTTCTTGAGAGTCAGACAATTGGTAAGTAGTTTTGAGTTGAGTACGTAGAAAACTAAGGTGGAAAAAACCCAAGTTAATTATTAACTCCAGAGAAAACAAAAAGCTATGCAGGAAAGGAAAATTGAAATATTAATACACATAGTTCATCTCTGAATAATATTTACATTATCGCAATAATTGAAGCTGAATATTGGTCCAGGCAAAATTACTCTAGAACCATATCGGGAAAGTGGGGTGAAGGGAAGGGTTTATGTGTGTACGGGTGATGTGTGCATGGGGTGGGGCTGACATGAAGAAAGAGGGTCACATTTTCATTCTCCATAGAAAAGGTCGACAGACAATACTAAAACAGAACATTGAAAAGGAGCAATACAGTTATGCCACTTAGCTCTATGACAATAATCGGCTGAAAGAGCTGACGAGGAGGAAATTGGTGGCATATGGGACACGGGACTGATCGTTTTGGTAACAAACCTTTTAGAGCTATTTAACCCATTAAACTATGTGCATGTATAATTTTGATGCAAATAAAAAAAATTAAATACAAATAGGAGCAACTGCTACTGTCATTTTGTTATACTTTTTATGTATTTGCACGTGCACACACACACATCTTCTTGGAGTGTTTGCTTCGGGCTAGATATTGTGCTGGACCTTGGGAACACAGTGCAGATGAGATCAAGTATGAGTCCATCCCAAGAGAACTTTCTCTGAAATGCTGAAAAGTAAATTTCAAACATTTGCTATGGAAAATAATAGACCATGCAGGTACTGTATGTCAGTTTTCAGCAGTGACATGTCTGTAAAACCATCTGAAATTGTCACTGGTCGTTCAGTTATATGCCTGGGAGGCACCGTTGTCACATATCTGTTGTCATATTACATTCTCACACAAACCCTCTGAAATGGTATTGTTATCTGAGGCTCAGAAGGGACAGGTAGATTGCCTAAACTCTTACAGCAAGTTGGTAGCAGAGCCGGAATTTGAATTTGGGTCTCCCACATTCAATATCCATAACCCAGACTGTGATCAACGAAACATTTTCCAGGTAATCTGGTATCTGCAGTGAATAAGATGAAGCATTCATCTTTGGGTAAAGCTAATAAAAAGATCATCATCAGAGTGCTTTGGCATTGGGAGGTGACATTTTCTTTGAAAAAAAAAATTGAGGACAAAATCTCAATAAACATAGGGAATTATTTTTAGTTTCTGCTGTGAGAGATTTCAGCAGAGTAAGTACCTAAATTCACCAGCAGAGTTCACACTCAGGTAAATTAGAATTCATTCAGCATTTATTGAGAAACCTCTAAATCAAACCTTTAGAACTTCAAAAATGAATGTGTCACCAACAAGCACGTGCGTCTGTTGCCATGTGGATATATGTTCAACGTTAAAATGCTGTGGATTAAGACATGACCTCGTGTGATTAGAGTGATTGCATATTTACTTAGCTATATTTTGTTTGATGTTTTGGACCATGGTAGCTTAATGTTTAGAATGGTTGGATATATTCTTAAAATGAAATTTTATTACTTTCATAAGCTTGGGGTATTTGCCTCTAGGCCAGCCTTTCCTGAATGTGTTCAGAATATTGGGCCATCAAGATGTTTGTTAACTCAAGAGGTGACTGTCCACATAAATTTGGAGTATCCTGGATATAATTCTCCTTTTGGACATTTACAATGCATATTAGCATATTAGAGACTCTGAGATGCTTTTGTATGAAAGAACCATATTTTGCTATATTTAACCAGAATTTCCACAGTTTTTTTTGAACGTGGATTCATTTTTCCAGTTGACTTCTAAAGTTATGTGGAATGCATTTTAGGAAATGGGGGACTCCGGGTTATATTCCTTTTGCAGAAAATTCATACATCATGAGCTTGAGGCTCCTTTTAGCTCTGAATGCTGTTGCTTTGCAATTGTGGTCATCGGTCAGTTTCATGTCAGTCATTTTGATTTATAACTTGTTGGGTCGTGTTTAGTTAAGAATATGAAGATTATGACTTGCTAAATAAGGAGGCACAAACCACCGACTTCTGGTTTGCAGGTAGCTCCCTCGGCATCTGAGCTCCCACTTTGGGGAAGTGAAAACCCTGGGGCCGTTTCAATTGAAGGCGCAGGTTCAATACACTCACACAAAGGAAACAAAGGTTTATTGCGTGCACATTCCAGAATGGGGGCGCAATGAGCCTTGGGAAGGGTAGTCCTCCGTCCCCAGCCCTGAGAGAGCAGGAGATACAGAGCAGGGTAGTAAGCACCTATTCTAAGGTGCTTGGGGTGGCGGCCACTCATTTTTCATGGGCTCAGCTCCGAGTGCTCATTTAAAAAGGTGATCTGGGAAAGTAAGGCAGGAACTGGTGGCGGGAATTCTAAGCTTGGCTCCTTATCTAAATGTCCAGACCCTGGGTGTGAGCAGGGCTGTCATACTGTAAAAAGCCCAGCCTTATAAATATTTTCTAATAAATCATTCTAGAGATTATATATATTTATATGTACATATGCATACATTTGTGGACATGTATATATGTACAAGCACATCCATACACACATCATATATGGACAATTGTAAAATATACTCCATTGTATCATAATTTAGTAAGGAAGGAAGTTACTTGGTTTGTTTTCAGATTTTTGTTGCAGTGTATATCCTTACACAAAATCTCTGTCTGATTGGATGGCTGTATCTGTATGATAAGCTCCTAGTAGTATATTCTAGGTCAAAAAGTATATGCATTCTAAATTTTAGTGGATGTTTATTGTTTAAAAGATTGGACCAGTTTACATTTAGCAACTGTATGAAAGTGTTAGCTTCACCACTCCCATCTCTGGCAACAGGCGTGGGATGTTATTAAACTAAAAGCTGATGTCATTTTCCTAAATGGGAAATTCATGATCTCAAAAAGTACCATTGTTTTATATATTGGGTTGTTGGAAAAGTCATGACACATTTTTGCAACGAAAAACATAAAAAAAATACGTCATGACTTTTCCGACCACCCAATATTATTCTCCATTTATTATGTATCCATCATTTAATGGAATTGTGAAGTTATTTGGGGACCAGGAAGAAGTGGCCTTTGTGTTGAAGTAGTTACTGTCTGCGATTATTACACATGAGATTAATGACAATAGCTGCAAGCTTCATTATTAAACATGATATGTAAATTTTTGGTTAGAACACAGTTCAAACATTTATTTTGCTTGAAAATATTTGTTTCTGTGAAATTTTGCATGAATAGATTCTGCCATAACAATAAAATCATGGTACACTTTGTGGAAAATTTGCAGAGATGACAGACTTGAGCCTGAAGATAATTTTGAAATGTCCACATTTCCTTATGAAGATTTTAGTTTTCACTGTCTTATTGGAGTGTAAAAAGACTTTTCAGCCTGCTGTGGAGGAATGTCAGTAACATAATTGACTCATTCTTTTTGCATAAAGGAGGAAGACAGTGGTCGTATAGTGCCCTTGGATGAGAAATGGAAACTTCTGAGCTGCAGCTTCGGTTTATGCTCAAAGCCTGCATTGTTTGTCTTCATCTAATCCAGCTTTGATGGACATCTGTGGCAGTTGCCTGCACACGTGCTCGAATGAAGTATTAGAAATGGCTATACATTCAAAAGAAACCCCGTATTATATACCCACATCACTGCTGCTAGTGTTCATATTTTTGCACATACTGTTTATTGCTTATGTGTAGAAGAAATGAAACTAGTTTCAGAGTTGTTATTCTTGTGAATATATAACATGTATTAATATTGAGACCAAAAAATACATTTCCAGCATTAGCAGTCCTTCATTTCCTGTCTCCAGAATAATGTAATTCTTGATAATAAATAAGAGTTTTGATGAAGAGTAATATACAGCTTACAAGGGAATGTAAAGGATTAGTAAAAAAATTATATCTCCCGTCATTTTTCGGCCCCTCACACCACATTGATGTCAGGCTGGTTTGTTATTATGGAAAACAACTTGGGAGTTAATGCAAGAACATAATACTCACTTTATATTACTTTCTTACGAACAGGATTTACTTGAATACATGAATCTAATCATGTTTATTTGATAGAAGCTGTGGTTTCTAGGAATTTGAGAAAGGCATAGGAAATAAATAGGACAAAAAGGAAATGGTACCTTGAATAGCATTTTTTCCATGATAGAAACATAAATTTAATAGTATCCTATAATAATTTAGTACTGTACATTTTTTAAGACTTTAAAAAATTCTATGGATTTCATGTCTTCTGTATATATCAGATGTGTCTTTCAAAGGTGACCAACAGTACCTTTATTTTAATTTTTTAAGTGCTACTGACAAATTTAAGCATATGCTTAGATACAGTTAGATGTGACAGAATGAGATAATTTACATAAAGTAGTACAGTGGCACAAAACAGGTACTTAATATATATATTTGTTGTTATAATTATTGTTGTAAAACTAATAACTTCAATAACATGGTCCCAATTTGGAGGGATTTTGTGATGCAAATTATCTAAGTTAGAAATAGAAATAATACAGATGAGATAAGCATGTGCTGAGAGATTTTAGATGTGTTGGTAGAGGTAATAACGAGAGCATTAAGTTCAAATAAAAATTGCACCAAGTATCCCCGAAAACAGAAGTGTAGACGGTTCACGATGGAGCCTTGGGCAAGGAGAGAAAGGACAAGAGTCGCAGCAGAGTGAGGCACAGCGGAGGCTGTGAAGGGTCAGGATCTGTGCGCACCCTGGGCCACCTCAGGGCAGCACCAGGCGGGGCCTCTGACTGGCAGAGGCAGGCCCTGGATTCTTCCTGTCTGCGATTTCTTCTGCATGTACAGAAATGAAGAAATGGCACAGCGTGGCTATTAGAACTGTNCACAACTTGGGAAAATTACTGACATTCTCTCAGCCTCAGTCTCCTCATTTATGAAGTGGAGATGCCGAGTCATACCTCTTAGAGGTGTTGTGAGGATGAAATGAAACAGGAAAATGCACAGTGCGGTGCTTGGCAGAGGTTAGCATTCAATCAATGTGAGCTATTACAATTATGGTTATTATCATTGATTTTGATTAGTGTCATTTTCCATTATATTTTTATATTGGTTAATATTATTTCATTGAAAAAATAATTGCTTAAGTGTACTGACTTTCTTACTAATCTTTCCTATAGTTTCCAATAACATTTTAGCAGATTGTTTTGAGTTTTCTAAATAGACCATGATCACATCTATAAATAATAATTTTATCTCCCCCTTTCTAATTTTAATACTTATTATTTTATTGTATTATCTAAGACTTTCAGAATAATGTTAAATAATAAACAGTGATGTCTGGTACACATTTCTTATTTCTGATATGCTTGGGTTTCTATTTCTAAATCCGGTGGTATTTTTCCCATTCTCTCTTTTTTTTTTTTTTTGAATCTTCAAAAGCATTTGACACTGTTGACCTCTCTTCCTGTCTTTATTTTTCTTCCTTATGACCTTACACTGTTGCTAGTGGGTTTGTTGAAAAAGAAGGTAGCTATATGCCCTTGCTTGTAATGGAAGGACATTTATTCTTAACCTTCTGTTTTGTGTATAACAGTATTCAAGGGGCCGTGTTAAAATATAAACATATATTTTCCCTGAAGGAGTTTACAGTCCTCGTGTCTAGCATATCACTATTTCTTAAAATACTCTTATTTTAGAGATTTTACACTGAATTATCTTACTTAAACAGGGGTGCTTTAAGCGGGTTATTGCTGACCCGAACCAGACCCACGGGAACTTAGGTCAGCCCTGTGACCTGCTGCGGCCTCTGAGAAGTAGAACATGTGTGCACATGTGCTTTTTTTACTTTTGATAGCTTTTCAGGAAGTTCTCCACTCATTCCCTAGGGTCTCTTTTGTAGAAGATAATGTAAGGTTCAGAAATAGTCACAAGGAAGATAGCATCTGCTATAATTATATCAAAATAGCTGATAATTTAGAAGACTTCTTAGGATATGACCATACTTCAAGTTCTCATTATGAACAGTGATCATTGTATAATAGGACATTTCCTTTTAGAGTTAAGCTTTCTTATTATTTATATATAGATAAATGGGTATTTGAAGGAAGCCCCAAAGGGGAGAAAGTCAGCCTGATTACTTTTGTATATTCAAAGTGTCATTTCTTTGGATTGTTTTACTGGGTAAATTATATCCTAATTACCAAGTAATACAGTTATTATCGAAAGTTAAAAAAATACACAAATATATAAAAAGGAACTTTATATCAAATAATAACTGTCCATTAAATGTAGGCAATTAATTTGTTTCCACCACAAATTGCAATAAAATAACAGGAAAGAGATTTTTTTTTTAAGTGCACAAACCTACAAAGATAGAGAAAACAAAAGAGGAGACAACAGCAACAGTATTTTGGAAACTGGAAACAGGTGGTTGTGTGGTAACGGATTTAGCAGATGTGAGGAGCAAGACTATTTATGTGACAGAATCAGTCCCAGGAATTGGCAGCAACAGATATCTCTAGAAGCTGGAGTGAAATGAGGCTAAAATAATCTGTACTGGTTAAAAGTTTAAGAAGCAGTTGTAGCTCCAAATCCCCTTTCAATCTTTGGTAGATGCCTGGAGATAATTACCCCCTGGAGATGATGAAGAGAGAGTCTCTCTATTAGGGGACATAGGCACAAGTGAGGATCAGGATACCTCACTGAACACGGTGATTAAAGGACATTCTCATACCTGATGTTCCCCTCCTCCCCCATTTGGCCTCCAGGATGTTGGCAGAAAGTCCTCTGCTCAAACAAGGGCCTAGAAGGAACTTTCTGGAGAATCTGACACCCAGGGACTTCTCCACTGAAATAGCCCAGCCGGCCCATACTCTGGTGAGGGTACAACAGATAGCGCCCCCTGTGTGCTTGGAGTCTCCACTCTGGCTTCTTTGTAGTGGTTGTTCCCTTTCTTAGGTATGAGCAGTTAAGGATATTTAAGAAAGCCTATAACATGTAAGAGTCCAAAACAAACAGAAGAATGCAAGGCATAAGAAATAAATACTTAGGAAGAGAAAAACTTCAAAATAGTAATCATTCATATTTTCAGAGAGGTGAGGAAAGAACCATGATGTTGGAAGAGGATGCTGTTAAGAAAAGGAATATTTTTTAAAAAGGAGCTTTTGGAAATTGAAAACATGATAGCAGAAAAGAAAAATTTTATAGCAGAATCAGAAGGCAGAATGGAAGAAATTTGTCAGAAAGTAGAGCAAAACCAGGAGAGAATAAAATAAGAATATTGGAGGACCAGTTTAGGAGCTCCATTGTCCAAATAGGAAAAGTAGAGAGAGAGAACAGAGGAAATGGGGGAGAGAAACCAGCAACAAAATCATTCAGAACATTTTCTCAGAACTCATGGACACAAATTTACAAATTTAAGGACCCACTGAATTTCCAGCACGGTAGGTCAAAATAACACCCATGCCAAGGCACTTCATTGTGAAATTTCTTGACACTGAGGGAAAATTACAGGGAGAAAAAAACAAATCAAAGAACCTGCAATTTGAATATGAGACTTATCAACAGCAACACTGGAAGCTAAAAGTCAGTGAAGCATGACCTTCAGGTTTCTGAGGGAAAATTATAAGCCACCCAGAATTCCTTAGCTAGTCAAACTTTCAATAATTTGAAATAACTTTTCAAAGTCATTTTCAGATAGCAAAGTCATTGAAAATTTACTTCCCTGGAAACTACTGGGAGGTATGCTTCCCCAGAATGGAGTAAGCCAACAAAACAGATGTGGGAGTCAGGAAACAGGGGACCCAACACAGGAGAAAGACAACAGGGATTACCAGAATGATGGTGAAATAGCGTCTAGGCATACAGGGTGTCAGTCTAGATGTGAGCATCTGAGAAGGTTCTAGAAGAGCTTTGTTTAGGAAGATGAAATTGATAGACTGCATGATATGTCGTAACTTCTTGAGAGTCAGACAATTGGTAAGTAGTTTTGAGTTGAGTACGTAGAAAACTAAGGTGGAAAAAATCCAAGTTAATTATTAACTCCAGAGAAAACAAAAAGCTATGCAGGAAAGGAAAATTGAAATATTAATACACATAGTTCATCTCTGAATAATATTTACATTATCGCAATAATTGAAGCTGAATATTGGTCCAGGCAAAATTACTCTAGAACCATATCGGGAAAGTGGGGTGAAGGGAAGGGTTTATGTGTGTACGGGTGATGTGTGCATGGGGTGGGGCTGACATGAAGAAAGAGGGTCACATCTTCATTCTCCATAGAAAAGGTCGACAGACAATACTAAAACAGAACATTGAAAAGGAGCAATACAGTTATGCCACTTAGCTCTATGACAATAATCGGCTGAAAGAGCTGACGAGGAGGAAATTGGTGGCATATGGGACACGGGACTGATCGTTTTGGTAACAAACCTTTTAGAGCTATTTAACCCATTAAACTATGTGCATGTATAATTTTGATGCAAATAAAAAAAATTAAATACAAATAGGAGCAACTGCTACTGTCATTTTGTTATACTTTTTATGTATTTGCACGTGCACACACACACATCTTCTTGGAGTGTTTGCTTCGGGCTAGATATTGTGCTGGACCTTGGGAACACAGTGCAGATGAGATCAAGTATGAGTCCATCCCAAGAGAACTTTCTCTGAAATGCTGAAAAGTAAATTTCAAACATTTGCTATGGAAAATAATAGACCATGCAGGTACTGTATGTCAGTTTTCAGCAGTGACATGTCTGTAAAACCATCTGAAATTGTCACTGGTCGTTCAGTTATATGCCTGGGAGGCACCGTTGTCACATATCTGTTGTCATATTACATTCTCACACAAACCCTGTGAAATGGTATTGTTATCTGAGGCTCAGAAGGGACAGGTAGATTGCCTAAACTCTTACAGCAAGTTGGTAGCAGAGCCGGAATTTGAATTTGGGTCTCCCACATTCAATATCCATAACCCAGACTGTGATCAACGAAACATTTTCCAGGTAATCTGGTATCTGCAGTGAATAAGATGAAGCATTCATCTTTGGGTAAAGCTAATAAAAAGATCATCATCAGAGTGCTTTGGCATTGGGAGGTGACATTTTCTTTGAAAAAAAAAATTGAGGACAAAATCTCAATAAACATAGGGAATTATTTTTAGTTTCTGCTGTGAGAGATTTCAGCAGAGTAAGTACCTAAATTCACCAGCAGAGTTCACACTCAGGTAAATTAGAATTCATTCAGCATTTATTGAGAAACCTCTAAATCAAACCTTTAGAACTTCAAAAATGAATGTGTCACCAACAAGCACGTGCGTCTGTTGCCATGTGGATATATGTTCAACGTTAAAATGCTGTGGATTAAGACATGACCTCGTGTGATTAGAGTGATTGCATATTTACTTAGCTATATTTTGTTTGATGTTTTGGACCATGGTAGCTTAATGTTTAGAATGGTTGGATATATTCTTAAAATGAAATTTTATTACTTTCATAAGCTTGGGGTATTTGCCTCTAGGCCAGCCTTTCCTGAATGTGTTCAGAATATTGGGCCATCAAGATGTTTGTTAACTCAAGAGGTGACTGTCCACATAAATTTGGAGTATCCTGGATATAATTCTCCTTTTGGACATTTACAATGCATATTAGCATATTAGAGACTCTGAGATGCTTTTGTATGAAAGAACCATATTTTGCTATATTTAACCAGAATTTCCACAGTTTTTTTTGAACGTGGATTCATTTTTCCAGTTGACTTCTAAAGTTATGTGGAATGCATTTTAGGAAATGGGGGACTCCGGGTTATATTCCTTTTGCAGAAAATTCATACATCATGAGCTTGAGGCTCCTTTTAGCTCTGAATGCTGTTGCTTTGCAATTGTGGTCATCGGTCAGTTTCATGTCAGTCATTTTGATTTATAACTTGTTGGGTCGTGTTTAGTTAAGAATATGAAGATTATGACTTGCTAAATAAGGAGGCACAAACCACCGACTTCTGGTTTGCAGGTAGCTCCCTCGGCATCTGAGCTCCCACTTTGGGGAAGTGAAAACCCTGGGGCCGTTTCAATTGAAGGCGCAGGTTCAATACACTCACACAAAGGAAACAAAGGTTTATTGCGTGCACATTCCAGAATGGGGGCGCAATGAGCCTTGGGAAGGGTAGTCCTCCGTCCCCAGCCCTGAGAGAGCAGGAGATACAGAGCAGGGTAGTAAGCACCTATTCTAAGGTGCTTGGGGTGGCGGCCACTCATTTTTCATGGGCTCAGCTCCGAGTGCTCATTTAAAAAGGTGATCTGGGAAAGTAAGGCAGGAACTGGTGGCGGGAATTCTAAGCTTGGCTCCTTATCTAAATGTCCAGACCCTGGGTGTGAGCAGGGCTGTCATACTGTAAAAAGCCCAGCCTTATAAATATTTTCTAATAAATCATTCTAGAGATTATATATATTTATATGTACATATGCATACATTTGTGGACATGTATATATGTACAAGCACATCCATACACACACCATATATGGACAATTGTAAAATATACTCCATTGTATCATAATTTAGTAAGGAAGGAAGTTACTTGGTTTGTTTTCAGATTTTTGTTGCAGTGTATATCCTTACACAAAATCTCTGTCTGATTGGATGGCTGTATCTGTATGATAAGCTCCTAGTAGTATATTCTAGGTCAAAAAGTATATGCATTCTAAATTTTAGTGGATGTTTATTGTTTAAAAGATTGGACCAGTTTACATTTAGCAACTGTATGAAAGTGTTAGCTTCACCACTCCCATCTCTGGCAACAGGCGTGGGATGTTATTAAACTAAAAGCTGATGTCATTTTCCTAAATGGGAAATTCATGATCTCAAAAAGTACCATTGTTTTATATATTGGGTTGTTGGAAAAGTCATGACACATTTTTGCAACAAAAAACATAAAAAAAATACGTCATGACTTTTCCGACCACCCAATATTATTCTCCATTTATTATGTATCCATCATTTAATGGAATTGTGAAGTTATTTGGGGACCAGGAAGAAGTGGCCTTTGTGTTGAAGTAGTTACTGTCTGCGATTATTACACATGAGATTAATGACAATAGCTGCAAGCTTCATTATTAAACATGATATGTAAATTTTTGGTTAGAACACAGTTCAAACATTTATTTTGCTTGAAAATATTTGTTTCTGTGAAATTTTGCATGAATAGATTCTGCCATAACAATAAAATCATGGTACACTTTGTGGAAAATTTGCAGAGATGACAGACTTGAGCCTGAAGATAATTTTGAAGTGTCCACATTTCCTTATGAAGATTTTAGTTTTCACTGTCTTATTGGAGTGTAAAAAGACTTTTCAGCCTGCTGTGGAGGAATGTCAGTAACATAATTGACTCATTCTTTTTGCATAAAGGAGGAAGACAGTGGTCGTATAGTGCCCTTGGATGAGAAATGGAAACTTCTGAGCTGCAGCTTCGGTTTATGCTCAAAGCCTGCATTGTTTGTCTTCATCTAATCCAGCTTTGATGGACATCTGTGGCAGTTGCCTGCACACGTGCTCGAATGAAGTATTAGAAATGGCTATACATTCAAAAGAAACCCCGTATTATATACCCACATCACTGCTGCTAGTGTTCATATTTTTGCACATACTGTTTATTGCTTATGTGTAGAAGAAATGAAACTAGTTTCAGAGTTGTTATTCTTGTGAATATATAACATGTATTAATATTGAGACCAAAAAATACATTTCCAGCATTAGCAGTCCTTCATTTCCTGTCTCCAGAATAATGTAATTCTTGATAATAAATAAGAGTTTTGATGAAGAGTAATATACAGCTTACAAGGGAATGTAAAGGATTAGTAAAAAAATTATATCTCCCGTCATTTTTCGGCCCCTCACACCACATTGATGTCAGGCTGGTTTGTTATTATGGAAAACAACTTGGGAGTTAATGCAAGAACATAATACTCACTTTATATTACTTTCTTACGAACAGGATTTACTTGAATACATGAATCTAATCATGTTTATTTGATAGAAGCTGTGGTTTCTAGGAATTTGAGAAAGGCATAGGAAATAAATAGGACAAAAAGGAAATGGTACCTTGAATAGCATTTTTTCCATGATAGAAACATAAATTTAATAGTATCCTATAATAATTTAGTACTGTACATTTTTTAAGACTTTAAAAAATTCTATGGATTTCATGTCTTCTGTATATATCAGATGTGTCTTTCAAAGGTGACCAACAGTACCTTTATTTTAATTTTTTAAGTGCTACTGACAAATTTAAGCATATGCTTAGATACAGTTAGATGTGACAGAATGAGATAATTTACATAAAGTAGTACAGTGGCACAAAACAGGTACTTAATATATATATTTGTTGTTATAATTATTGTTGTAAAACTAATAACTTCAATAACATGGTCCCAATTTGGAGGGATTTTGTGATGCAAATTATCTAAGTTAGAAATAGAAATAATACAGATGAGATAAGCATGTGCTGAGAGATTTTAGATGTGTTGGTAGAGGTAATAACGAGAGCATTAAGTTCAAATAAAAATTGCACCAAGTATCCCCGAAAACAGAAGTGTAGACGGTTCACGATGGAGCCTTGGGCAAGGAGAGAAAGGACAAGAGTCGCAGCAGAGTGAGGCACAGCGGAGGCTGTGAAGGGTCAGGATCTGTGCGCACCCTGGGCCACCTCAGGGCAGCACCAGGCGGGGCCTGTGACTGGCAGAGGCAGGCCCTGGATTCTTCCTGTCTGCGATTTCTTCTGCATGTACAGAAATGAAGAAATGGCACAGCGTGGCTATTAGAACTGTGGCATATTTAAACATTTATATCTTACGGAATAAAACTGATACCACATGCTTGCCAAACATGGACTGCAGGTGTAGCCTCGTTTGTAGTTAACATCAAAAGACAAACTCTGAAGCCTTTCGTGAATGAGAGGCCAGATGGCGCTGGGGGCACGCCCTCTGTTGACCCCGTATTCAGGCCCTGGGACAAAACGGTACACAGGCTGCCAGCCTCTCTGCTCTCCACACAGTAGGTATTGAGCCGCCAGGGACTTTTCTTGAATCTAACTTCTGATGCTTCTAGTAGTCGCCACCCACCTGTCCCTTAAAAATGCAAAATAAACGGACAAAAACTAATTCAAATGACTTTCAAGGTGATACCTCGTTTCCCATGCTTCCCTCTCCTTTGTCTATCTATCTATCTATCTATCTATCTATCTATCTATCTATCTATCTATCTATCTATCTATCATCTATCATCTATTTTTTTAATTGAAGCAATCAAATTTATTTATCGTATATATTCTAAGTTGAAAGACTGAAATGGACTACGTGGTTCAGTGTGTGGTGTCCATTGTTGAGTGTGGAAGCCCAGCCTCCTGTAATAGGGAAAACCCCTTCATTCCTCAGCGAGGCACCTGAGACTCAGACTGTGGATGCTGTTTATATGATGCTTTTGCAGGAAGGAATTTGAGAGGGTAATTTATCAATCAACAAAAGTGCAAATCACTGATCTCAAATCTATCCTATTTTGATGGTGGCATGAAAATGAAAAGTTAAAGGTATGCAATGGACCCTGAAATGTGGGATGGATCCTCCCAAAGTAGAAGTGTGTGTGTGTGGGGTGGGTGAGTGGGTGGGGTGGGGGTGGGAGGAGTTAATTAGGGATAAATGACAAATTTCTAAGATCTTGACATTTAATGTAGGATGGATTTTGTTTACCTCACAGGAAAAAAAGCATTTAAAACACCTCTGATTTATGGCAATTAATGTACCTGATTGTGTGTAAAGTAATATTGTACTCAGAAGGTTTGTCAGTTAAGGTAATTTAGTCTTTTTTTGTTGGTCAGTCTAACTAAAGGCTTGCCAACAGTGTTGCTACTTGCAGAGAATCAACATTTGATTTTCTTGGTTTTCTCTACTGTGTTTCTGTCTTCTATTTCATTAAGACCTTATCTAATCTTTCTTATTTCCTTCCTTTTGCTTGCTTTGGGTTTAGTTTGTCCTTTTTCCAGTATCTTAAGGTGAAAGGTTAGCTTATTGATTTGAGGCCTTTTTCAATAATGGCATTTACAGCTATAAAATTTCCTCTAAGCATTGCTTTAGCTGCATCGCATAAATTTTGGTAAGTTATATCTTTGTTTTTATTTATCTCAAAAGCATTTTCTAACGTTCCTTGAGACTTCTTTGATCCAATGGTTATTTAGGTGTGTGTTGCTTAATTTCTATATATTTATGAATTGCCAAATTTCTGTTATTAATTTGTAATTTCCCTCCATTGTGGTCAGAGAACGTACTTTGCATGATTTCAAGGCTTTTAAATCTATGGAGGCTTGTTTTGTGGCCTAGCATATGGTTTATCCTGGAGAATGTTCCTCGTGCGCTAAGTAGAACCTCTGTTCTGGGCATAGGGGCCGGGTGGGCGAAGGGGCCCATGACTCCTTGGTTGTAGTCCCTAGGAACTTAGCCTGTGCAGCCTTTTTAGTATCCATTGAATAGGAGCCAAGGAAAGAGGGAGCCCCGTCTTCTTGGCCATACACGCCTAGTGTGGAGATTTCGTCATGCCAAGCTGGGGGAGCGGCGGGAAGGAGTGGGTTTATGCCTCAAATTCCAAATACTTCCACTGTTCTTACTGAGATTTAGGAGATTTTCTTGAATAAATGTCTCTACGTTTGCTGCATGCCTTTAGGAGAATTTCCAGGTACTTTAAATTTCTTTATTATTATTATTTTTTATTCCACCAGTTAATGGTAGTTTTGCTGGGAGCAGTAGGGCTGCGGGGCGCCTCATGTTGCCATTCTGCATGTAATTCTCTCATTTGAGGTAGCACATTACTCAAAATGTCAGGCTCTCCGTTACCTTTTGGAATTTTCACTTGAGCAAGCACATTTTTCAGAATTTTGTGTCAAATATCATTGCGATTAAGGGTCGACTGACTCTTCTTAGTAATTTAAAGTCTCTTTTTTAAAATCCCATTTTAAAAGATTATTTTTTTCTGTTACAGTTGACATTCAATATTATTTTATATTAGTTTCGGGTGTACAGCATAGTGATTAGACATTTATATAATTTATGCAGTGATCCCCCAATTAGTCTAGGACCCATCTGGCACTATACATATTTGTTGCAACATTATTTCTATATTCTCTATGCTGTGCCTTTGTAACTACCAATTTGTATTTCTTAATCCGTTTACCTTGTTCATCCAGCTTCCCACCTTCCTTCTCATCTGGCAACAGTCAGTTTGTTCCTTGTATCTATGAGTCTGTTTCTGTTTTGTGTATTCCTTTACTTTGTTCTTTAGATTTCACATATAAGTGAGGTCATATGGTATTTGTCTTTCTCAGTCTGACTTACTTCACTTACGATGATATCCTCCAGGTCCATCCATGTTGTTGCAAATGGCAAGATTTCATTCTTTTTTATGGCTGAGTAATATTCCATTGTATATACGCATATATGTACCTCATCTTCTTTATCTAATCATCTATTGATGGGCACTAAGGTTGCTTCCCTATCCTGACTACTGTAAACAGTGCTGCAGTGAACATAGGGGTACATATATCTTTTCAAATTCGTGTTTTGGGTTTCTTAAAATGAAAATGAAGTTGACATATTAGTCATTAACTTACTGAGTTAATGACTGCAATTTTATTTCATTATTTTATTTCTCTATTGAACTAATTAAAAACTATTAATTAGTATGTGCTGGTTAATGCTTTCATATTTTAACTCTACATACTTAGTCCCAATGGAATGTGCACAAATAGACATCCAGAAAATCTCATTTTCCTTAGAATCTATCTACTTCTATTGGGAAATATTAATATGGCAAACACTGACATGATTAAAAAGCAACCTATATTCATTTAATGCAGAATATTATCTTGGGTCATAATGTAGAGTATAGATGAAAAAGATGAGGCAGTATATAACAGCGATGTAATGCAGCCCCTAAGGTTATGCACATAGAAACATTCCTTCCTTTTTTCTGTGTTTCTTTTCTTTGTTTAGAGTTCTTTCTTGTGCTGCTTCTGTATGAAACTCTTACCGGCACTCAGTGAGGTAATGAGGTGGTGAGACACAAGCCTTTAGAGGTTTTTAAGATAGCTAAAACAACACAGAAGAAAGGATTTTAAATTGGAAATTTTGTATCATATCAAACTTAGATTATGTTTTAATAAAGCATACTAGAAGTTTTATACTTCAGGTTGTACAGGAATATCCATTTGGAAATGATGCTATTGAGTTTTAAGAAACTTTTCAATTTCTGAAACTTAAGTGAATCTACATAAACGACTGCCTTGTAATGCTTTTACTCTCCAACTGGAACGCTGCAGTTTCAGTGAGTCAGTGGAACTTAAGAAATTTCTTAGAAATGCTCTAAAGACCTGAATATGCTTGTTTTACTCCCTTTGGGCCTGATTCATTTCCAGAATAGCTCTACTGCACAATTCCTTTGTTAAACTTTAATTGCTTTCAAATTATGTTGGAATTCAGTCATGCTCAATAGGAATTTTCCTGTGAAATTATATTAGGATCTGGCCCAAAGGTATTTAAAAAAAAATGCAGATCAAAGCCTATATATTGCATGAAAAACATTTTATCTTTTGTAACATAAAGATGCATCTTTATGGTATAAAGGAAATCTACAGTATTATTATAGCACATAATAAAATTTGGAATAAAGATTGGAATAAAAATTGACCCCTTGCAATTTCAGTCATATTAAATAAATTTCCTTGCAAATACCTTTTGGAACAAATCTCATTTGAATGAAATAATCTTAATATAAAAACCCTTATAATGTACATGATTTCTTTTTCCTTTTTTTACTCATATTTAGAAGTTACATGAAATAGTTCCAAATATCAATCAATATATTTGAGTGCTATTCAAAAGAAATTCATATCCAAGTGTAGGGCGGTCTCTTGTGATGGTTTTGCAGAGTGGGCCCTGCCTGTGCTCTTAGGTCCAGTGGTCCACGCTCAGCCTTCACACAGAACTGGAAATGGGCAGCAGCTTGGGAAAAACAGGTACCAGGTAAGAACAGAAAATCATTCCACACGTTTTTATTTTCTAAGTCTACAGAAAGGAAATGTGAATACAGTTGTTCTTGGGGGTAAATTGGTCTTCTCAGGAAGAGGAATGAATGCCCCTAGAGCACCAGGGAGGTGATTTTCTCATTTAGATGAGTGAGAAAATGTCCTAAGTGGGTTCTGTTGTGAGAGAAAGCAGCAGGTGAGCAGTTAGCTCCAGGGGACAGTCTACCCCACACAGATTAGGACCACTTTTACTGGTAGTCTTTGCACAAAGCTACATATTTGAAAACATTTTTATGGACACTGATTAATTGATTATGCTTATTATTTCTTTTCTTTTTTTTTTTTAGCTGAGCCATCCTGCCACCTGTTGGCAGCTCAGTGGCAGCTCAGCTCGGGCCGGGAATCCAACTGGCGACCCTGTTGCTCAGAGCTCGCACTCTTGAGAGAGCTCTTAACCAACTGAGCCACTCGGCTGACCCTTGCCTATTATTTCTTAATGCAATTCTGATCCTTGGGCTCCAGCTTTGCATTCTTCTGTCCTCTGCACCCCCCCACCCCCCCAAGAAGACTATTGGACCCACTGTGGCTAACTTACACATCTTTGGCAAGAGGACACATTTCCCACACAGTTCCCATTGAGGACTTTTCTTACATCTGGATTACTGACGATTGGTCCGTATTTTTACCATTTCATGCATTCGTATTAAATATATTTTAATCATAATCTATTACGGGAATTAGCTCAAACGTTTAAGCCAGAAGAAACTCCCCCCCCTTCTTTTTTATTTCTAAATCACCGGAGATGGCACATCATCTCTAGCTGAAATGTGGAAAGAGCCACAACACAGTCAAGTGGGAGCAAACAGCCTCCAAGCGGGACGTGGTCTATAATAAGAGAATGTACCTATAGGTGCAGAAATGAAAGAAGCCCTGAAGACATCACAAAAGAAACAAATTTTCAATGTAGCCAGACCCACGGTGGAGCAATAACTTGATACAGGTCAATACCTTGATGATTCAAAGTGGTGGTCATAACACCATTCTCCAGGCAACATTTTGTGACTCACTCCAGGTAACACGTTCTTGTGGTCACATCACATC